TTCCATTCTTCTCAAGGTTAGCCACAATTTGTTGTGATCCACACAGTCAAATACCTTTGCATAATCATTGAAACAAGATAGACATTTCTCCAGTACTCTCTGCTTTCAGCCAAGATCCATCTGACATTCACTATGATCTTCTCTTAGTCCTTTAGGCTAATTGTTTCTCCATATTTTGGCTTTTCTTTTCTTTTCTTTGTCCCAGACAGGGAGAGACCAATAGCTGAACCTTAGATGACTGCTTGCAAACTTTTTAGACCCAGTTTGTCCTGTTCCAGTTGGTTTTGGAGAATCTTCAGCAGGATTTTACTTGCTTATATTATTAGTGATATTGTTCAGTAATTTCTACACTCTGTTGGATTTTTTTTATGGAATGGGGATAAATATGGATCTCTCCCAGTCAGTTTGCCAGGTAGTTGACCTCCAGATCCCCTGGCACAACCAATGAGCACATCGAGGGTGGCATCTGTTTGCTGAACTATGTCATTAAACACTAAGCCATGAGAGCTCAAAGTCACTTTATTGGTCAGTTCACGGTTTGGCTAAAGTATGAGTCTTTGGGGTGTTTTTCCAGGTTCAAAGGGTGTCTAAGTGCCAAAGTCTCACAATTACATGAATCAATCAAATTCTCAAGGTCACATTGAAACTTTAAGTGTAGTCATTTTTATACTTTTTAGGTTCCTCTCCCCCCTTATTTTCCCTCATTCTCTCTAGAATCATCTGCTGTGATTCTTTTTGGCCTTGTGATCTTAGGGACATGTAAATTGAAGCTCACATGATCAGGTCCATTAGTCCTTTAGGCTAATTATTTCTCCATATTTTGGCTTTTCTTTTCTTTTCTTTTTTTGGTTCCATACAGGGAGAGACCAGTAGCTGAACCTTAGATGGCTGCTTGCAAACTTTTAAGACATCAGTTGCTACTCACCAAAACTGCCTGTAGAACTGTTACCAACACAATCCCAATTGGACTTAAAGGGTTAGTGTCTTCATTCTAGTAAGGAATTACCTAAAATAAGTACGTGGTTGAGCAATTGATAATCTTTTTTTTCTTCTAGCAAGTGAAAAGGAGACAGAGGCTAACCCCTTAGAATAGCAATACCATTTTGAAGAATATAGGTATTTTGAGGGAGTAAGCTGCAATACGTGCATGGGGAAGAGTTCATGGTCATGTAGCACTTTTAGGAGGGAAAGATGATGTTATCTTAGAAAAGCAGGTATTGTGCATATGAGGAGTTGCATGGGGTTGACTTTCAAAATGGACTCTATTTGGTTGGGAGCTTAGTTGTTACAAGACATGGACTATAGGTTTCGTTTTCCTGGTGATTTTCTATAGAATGTCATATAGTGGTCATTCTTTTTGCCACTGCACATGCATGACACCTGATAGTTCTTTCCGAGAAATTAAAGCAGTAATTGTTAGTAAAATTAAAGGTTATTAGGGACAAACGCTTGAACTTGCTTATATTAGCTATATTCCAGACTTATGAAGAGTGTGTGCTTGGACCTTGTGATAACTTGTGCTCGCTCTTTAGGGAGAAAAGTATATCGCTAGAAAAGAAAGGTCTTCTTATTCAGGTCTGTTTATTCTTTGCACATCATGTAAAAAGGCAAATGAAGTGGAGAAATGTGCAAATTTGTGATTAGAGCAAATTTAACATTGTCCAATTAAGATTTCCCCTTGCTATAAACTGCTAGGGAGCTCTGATGGCTTAGTGTTGAGGAATTGCACTGTCAACACAAAGGTACTCGGTTTAAACCTGCCAGTTGTTTCATGAGAGGAAGACTCCTTCAGTCTCCTCCCATATGCTTTACTGTCCATGAAAACCCACTGAAAGATCAGCTATGGTTTGGTTCCAACTTTATAGTATACAACAACAACATCCACTTAGAAACTATTTAGTACTGTCTTCTCTTTCTCATTGGAACTAACCCACAGTTGACTTGCATTGGCATTCTGAGGCTATAAATCACATTAAAGGAGATTTCCCATCTTTCTCTAATTGAGCTACTAGTGGATTTGAACCATCAGACAGGCATGACTTATGGGTTACCAGCAAACTCCCTGAGGACTACCCCACTAGAATACACACTATTTAATGCTTAATTGTTTGGTTTTTCTTGTTGTTTTGTTTTAAACTATCTTTAAAGTTAGATCCATTGTTCATGTTGTTGTTGTTAGGTGTGATCAAGTTGTGTAAGACTCATAGCAATCCTACAAACAAAAGATCAGAACCCTGTTCTATTCTGCACCATCCTCGCACTTTCTGACACACAAAAACCCATTGCAGCAGTCACTGTGTCTATCCATCTCGTTGAGGATCTTCCTCTCCCTCACTGACCCTCCAACTTTCCTAGCATCATGTCCTTCTTCAGGGAATACACCCTCCTAGCAACATGCCCAAAGTAGGTGAGGCAAAGCCTCATCATTCCTGTCTCCAAAGAGCACTCTGGCTACACCCTCTCAAAGACATATGTTTGTTCTCTTGGCCTTCCATGGGATGTTCAGTACTCTTCTCCAACACCACAGCTCAACGAGGTGATTTTTATTTTTCTTCTGTCATCCTTATTCATTGTCCTGTTCTCAGATGCATAGCAAGGTGCTCACCAAGTTGTGCCAAGAAATCTGGAGAACGACCACTTGGCCAACTGACTGGAAGAGATCTATATTTGTTCCTATCCCA